AAGAGCGGGAGTGTGAGCTGCTCTGGAAGGTATGCACCTTACATTTGTGGTTTGAACCTCTGACAAGTGCTTTTTCAAACTGAAAACATGCTTTTTAACTAATACATATGGCCAGATTCTGATAACCCTCCCAAGGAACACTGAATCAAAACACTGCAGTTTACTCTGAACTCATTTTTCTGTAGGTAGCAAGATACTGAATTCTGGCCCTGGTTGGTTTTGTGCCAAAGTTATCTTTTAATGTTAGAAACCAGTTGGTTTTTTGTAGCAGTTAGGGTATTGTCACGCAAGCTCAGCCCCACAGGTAGGGTGGGCACTCCCTCTGCTGGCTCAGCAGCTCTGCGTCACGGCTCCATACTCACTCAAGAAGAGATCACCTTTAAACACTTTGCTTAAAGAATGTCTTTAAAACATCTTTAATATGTTGCTGTAGAATTAAGTATGTTGTATATGGGGTTTCTTACATGAGCCACTCTTCATAAACTAAGGAAAGGAGCAAAGGCGTGTATCACAGAATGGTAGGAGTTGGAAGGGACCTCTGAAGATCATCCAGTCCAACCTTTTGCCTAGACCAGGATCACCCAGAGAAGATCACACAGGAACACGTCCAGGCGGGTTTTGAATGTCTCCAGAGAAGGAGACTCCACAACCTCTCTGGGCAGCCTGTGCCAGTGCTCTGTCACCCTCACAGTAAAGAATTTTTTCCTTATGTTTAAGTTGAATCTCCTGTGTCCCAGTTGTGACCACTGCCCCAAGTCCTGTTGCGGGGCACAACCGAGAAGCATCTGGTCCCAATCTCGACACCTGCCCTTTAGATATTTATGAGAATTAATGAAATCTCCCCTCAGTCCTTTTAAGCGTCCCTTTTTAAGAAAGACTAGTAGAAATTCTGGAAGACAAACTTTCATTGTGCCCACAGCTAAAAGCTGACTTGACTGTCAGTCAAAGTAGTGTGTCTCTTATTTTTTTTCTTTAAGTGGTAGAAAACGAGTATACTCTTCAGCATGGGTATTTGCACAGTCCCAAACCACTCCACTCACTTCAGCCATGATGCATGTATGGTATTTTGAGAGGAGGAAAGGAAGTAACAGCGCAGTTTCTCATTCAAAAAATATAACTTAGTGGTCATGGCTCGTCTCTGCTTGTTTAGGGCAGATTAGTTTGAATTGGCCTTTTGGGTCTCACTTGCAGAACTGACTAGAAACGCCACTCTCTGCTGCTGGATTAAGTGTTTTAGATCAGTGAGTCTGACTGACTTGTCCTGTGACAACAGGGTTGCTCATACTGGTACAGGGAAATAGTTTGTTTTCCTGTAGTTCTTTTGTAAGTGTCAGTAGCAAGATTAAAAATACACTTTATATAGCTACTGTACTTCTAATGCCGTTTTTTCTGAGGTATTTGGATTAAGGCAATTGAGTTCACTTTCCAGTGTTACTTAGCCTTCCCCAAGAGGCTTGGCAGCCTTCTCCTTTGAGGTATTCCTAGTACAGGAGAAGAAAGAACTGCCCCCAAGCTATTTGTATCCCTAGAGGCTGCATAAATGCACTTTATTGGAATGTCTGTGCTGAGAGCAAGTTCTCTTCACGTTATAAAACATTATTTTCAGAAGGAGACTTGGTGATGGTGGTGGTAAATCACTCTAGCAAAAAACAGCTGTGTATTAAGCCCTCATGTGAAGCATGTTAGTGAATAATTTCAGGTACCAAAACTGAGGCCAAGGATTAAACTGAAACATGAGATTAGTAATCTCTTTTAGAAATCTCTTGGAGGAAGCATCTCTGGACCTTTTTTTAAAGTCTGGTAGAACCTGCATACCTTTAACTTAAATAACAGATGTACAAACATACTATTTAATCTAGTCAGTATATAACCAGGGAGTCTTCAGACAGTGAGTTGCCCCTCACTAAAATGCACTGCTGGTACTGTTCTGCAGCCAAGTAGGTATTCAGATAGAAGGAAATGTACTTTTGCAACAATAAAGCAATTACATGTTTCATTAGTTTTACAAGGCAGGTGTCTTTGCCAGATGGTCTAAAGTGATTTTTCACAAGTAAAGGAAAACACAGGCTTATATAAAATAGTTGCAAACAAACCATTTTTGCTTGAGCTTCAGTCCCCCAGGCAGGGACTGGCAGCAACCTTCTGTATCATTTGAAGTGACATTATAAAGCATCCTGTGGTACAGCACAAGCTCGGCATGACTGCCAGTATTTCCAAGAAAATATTAAAATAATTGGACCCTAAAAATCCCTGGAGATAGATGTCTGGTATTACCCAGTCACATGAAGTCAGCTTTGGCAGAAAGGGGAATGACAAGAGCCTATGTACATGAGCTGATGCTGACTCCTAGCCTCAGCTTTGTGTGACAGCAGCCTACCTTCTGAAATTGGTCTCCATTCTGCTTAGAGAAGCCGCAGACTCTGCTCTTTCTTGAGAGCTTGCAGTAACCTCTGTCCTCCTTGGAGTCTAAAGACTTACCTTCAGCTGATCTGTCAAGTACCTTGCAACTAAAAAAACAGATTAGCATTTGAGGAAGCAAATCATTATTAGTAAGCAAGTGACTCTGTCTTTCAAATGACACTGATGCAGCAGATCTGCGAAGTAAGAACGTGTGATTTTGACCGGAGGATGGGAGTGAACAATAGTCCTGAATTTGGATAAATAATTTTTCTAATTTCCGCTTCTCTATATCACTGCTTTTAGAGGTTTGTTCTGAAGACTGGTGTCTACATGCTGCAGCAACTGCACAACTGGTTTTTACGTAGAAGAGTGACATTAGGAAATAGTTCTGTTACAGGTTGTCTTTCCTAATATAAGTGTGCTTTTCTCTTCCCCCTCCCCATCCTCTCCCAAGGTGGAAAAGATTCGTCAAGTCAAGGCTAAATCACTGTACTTGCAAGTTGAAAAGTTGCGTCAGAACCTAAATAAGCTGGACTTTTGGCAGGTCCTGGAGGAGGGTCGCACCATGGATATTCTTCTGGCTCGGGACCGCATGCTGGCTCAGGTGCAGGAGCTGAAGAATGTGAGAGGCCTTCTCCAGCCACAGGAAGATGACAGGATCATGTTCACCCCCCCTGACCAGGCATTGTACATGGCCATTAAATCAATGGGCTTTGTCAGCAGCGGGGCTTTCGCTCCTCTGACCAAAGCCACTGGGGAAGGCCTCAAGCGTGCGCTGCAGGGCAAAGTGGCCTCTTTCACAGTGATAGGCTACGACCATGATGGTGAGCCTCGCCTTTCGGGAGGTGACATGATCTCTGCAGTGGTGATGGGCCCGGATGGAAACCTTTTTGGGGCAGATGTCAGCGATCAGCAGAACGGGACCTACCTGGTCAGCTACCGTCCACAGCTAGAGGGAGAGCACCTGGTATCTGTGATGATGTGCAACCAACACATTGAGAACAGCCCCTTCAAAGTTCTGGTGAAATCTGGGCGCAGCTACATAGGCATCGGGCTGCCAGGGCTGACCTTTGGCAGCGAAGGAGACAGCGACGGCAAACTCTGCCGCCCCTGGGGGGTTAGTGTGGACAAAGAAGGCTACATCATCGTCGCCGACCGCAGTAACAACCGCATCCAGGTGTTCAAACCGTGCGGGACCTTCCATCACAAGTTCGGCACGCTGGGCTCCCGGCCGGGCCAGTTTGATCGGCCTGCTGGCGTGGCCTGTGACATCTCACGTAGGATCGTCGTGGCTGACAAGGACAATCATCGCATCCAGATCTTCACGTTTGAGGGGCAGTTCATTCTGAAGTTTGGGGAGAAAGGAACAAAGAATGGGCAATTCAATTACCCATGGGATGTGGCCGTCAACGCGGAGGGCAAGATCCTGGTCTCTGACACGAGGAACCATCGCGTTCAGCTGTTTGGGCCCGACGGCGTGTTTCTGAACAAGTACGGCTTCGAAGGGGCACTCTGGAAGCACTTTGATTCCCCCAGAGGTGTGACTTTCAATCACGAGGGCCACTTGGTAGTGACAGACTTCAACAACCATCGCCTTCTGGTCATCCATCCCGATTGCCAGTCTGCACGCTTTTTGGGCTCAGAGGGCACCGGGAACGGTCAGTTCCTGCGCCCACAGGGAGTGGCGGTGGATCAAGAGGGGCGCATCATTGTGGCCGATTCCAGGAACCACCGGGTGCAGATATTTGAGTCCAATGGTAGCTTTTTATGCAAGTTTGGCACTCAGGGAAGTGGCTTTGGTCAGATGGACCGTCCTTCAGGTATAGCCGTCACCCCTGATGGCATGATTGTTGTGGTCGACTTTGGAAACAATCGAATTCTCGTCTTCTAATCTGTGTTTGAATTGGGAAGAAACTGTCTCAGGGAAATTCTTCTAAGAGAAAAAAATACAACGTTAATTCAAACCTACCTCATCTTTAATTTTTTTACAGATGAATGTACTTATCTTTTCTGCAGGGAGTGAGCCTGTAAAGTTAAATTCTATCTACCTCATTGTCCTCCCTTCCCTCCCCGGTTTCTCCCCCCCTCCCCATCCCCACACACTCACAGCTCAGAACGTTTTTACCTCTCCCCCCCGATGGGGTTTCATGCACAAACAAGTGCTGCTGTGCACATTAGGTGGTTTGTGTGGCGAGTTCTGTAGACAAAGCCAAAAAAAAGGCTCTAGGTAACTTTTTAAACAGAGAAAATGGTCGTAGGTGTTTGTAGAGAATTTGTGTTCTTGACCATACTACAGTTCTGTGGGTGGGGACATGGGAGGGGGGGGCTTTTTGTTTTTTGAATTGCTGCTGCAGCAGAGAACTTTTTCCTGTTCTCCTTTTTATACCTCAGTGTGTTTGATTTACTGGTGAGCACAGCGTCTTGTTCCCAGACGACTTCGAGCGTTTTGTGAAAAGTGAGTGGGATTCACTCGCCGGGAAGAGCAAGTTTGCATCTTTTTGGCATTTCTGTGTATTTTTTTCTGAAACACAGTAATCCAACAGCACAAAGTGAAGCTGATGAAAATGCACAAAAGTTCTTTAAGTTTAAACCAAATTGTTCATTTTAGTGGCTTAGTGTGGTCGTTGTAAAGTTTAGATAAAAAGCAAGGCTTCCTTTAATGTATCCTGTCAATGAGTATTTCTTTTTACCCTTTTCACCTGAAAGCTAAATTAGTTTTAAAAAGTTACAGTTTCTTGTATCAGTGTGCCTAGTCTGGACATCAGAAGAGGTTACGAGGAGCATTGAAACAGGGAAAATCAAACCCCTTTTGATTTACTTTCTTGTGAAATGACTAGCATTTTTTTTTTGCCCCCTCCCATAGAAAGACTTTAAGGGAATCATGTTTGGTGGATTTGTTAGACCAGAAGTGGTACCTCTTTCCAAAAGTGAGAAATAAGCACAGCTTTGGAGATTCAGGGTGCGTTTTGGAGAAGTCAACACGTTTTTTTATTTGTCTGTTTGAAGAGGATTGCAATAACTCTATCAGTGACAATTTCTTTTTTTTAATCTTCTGGCTTCCCCAAAGAGATGGACTGGAAAATTCAGGAAGGTCTACTGTACTTTTTAGGGCGGGGTGAGCTTGTAGCTCCATGTATCTCGTGCTACAGATCCAAGTGAAAAGTTACCAGTACCAGCATAAGGCAAACTGCATCAAGATGAAACTTTTGCTGCTTTTTTTCCAGGGCAGTACCAAAGAATTCTGTGTAAAAATAAATGTATATGATCCTTGGAGGCAGGAGGAAGTTAGCCCTTTTGGGGATATAAACACAGCTTTTCTGAGAAGCAGAAACTTTTTTGGGAGAATAGAGATCTCTTTAGCAAAATGTGACTTTGAGTCTGTGGAAGTATTTGGTTTTATTCTTCAGTTTCTTGCATTCTGGTTTAGCTGTTAATGCAGATATGGTCTCTGTGGAGCTGTTGCTTCACCCTTTGGATAAGGCCTTCGGTGGCAAACAAGAATGGTTAAAGTAGGAAACAGAGGGCTTTTTTCTCTCTCTCTGTAACGGAAAAAATTGTGTATCAGTACTCTTAGGCTTGGAAATGCCATGGGATTTACCTCACTGTTTGCAAGAGAAGATCTCTGAAACATAAACGTGGTCATTATCAAAATGTCTGAAGAGCCTTAACCGTACTCCAAGGAAAGGGTTCATCTCTCTGCCAGCCACCATGCACAAAAGTGACCTGAGATTGGAAGGCTCTTGACAAGGTGGTGAGAAATCACAAGGTGCACTTTCCTTCTTGCTGCTTTTCCCCTCTGAGAAGTGTGAACTTTCTGGGTTTTGTAGAAATCCTGGTGATGTGTGCAGACAGACAGCTGCTGCTTTAGAGGAGGCTTAAACTAAAGGACCAGAAACAGACAGACAGATTTGTGAGATGGCAAAACCCCTTTTGAAAGAAGGGTGAGGAAAAACACCTAAATTAAATAGGTTAAAATAACTGTGCTGCCTTTTCAGCCAAAGCCTCAAGGAAGCAAACTCTTCAAAGCAGTGTGTTTCAGTTAGGCTTAATCTTAGGATAGCATGGTTTAAAAACAGTCTTTAAAGGATAATCTTTTATGCAGATGTCTGTCATTAAATTTCTGTGGCCATTCAAAATATGGGTGTGAGAGAAAGCGAATTTACCTCAACTTTTTCAAGTTCTGCCTTGTGTATGTACCTCCCTTTTTGGGGGTGGCCTGCACTTGTGACAAGTCCATGTTTGTCATGTGTTACTCAGCGCAAGTATTAATGGCAACTTGGGCTGTGAAAATGAATAGCCTGCAAGATCTAGATACCAAAGAAAACTGGTTTTAAAAGCTTTAATGTTTAGTTTGCAGTGTCCTTGCCTTTAGCCTATCATGACTTAATAAAAATGCCAGGTCTCTTTAATACCTTGACCAGCATGGCTGAGAGTGTTGGAGCATGCTAGAAATGCTCTTGTGTTTTAATGCTTATTGGGTCCCCCCCTTCTCTGGGGCTAGAAGGGAGGGTTTTTCCAGGCATTGAAAAAAAAAAAGAAAGAAAGAAAGAAATCAGGTGTGCATTCAGGATCATGTTGAACTGCAGAAACATTTTGGCCCCTCTCCAGCCTGCACCATGTAGAAGGTGACAGATACTGAAGTTGCCCTTTGCTATTTTGGGTGGAGCCATTGCACAAACCCTCGGTCCAGCTCTGTCAGGAAGAGGAATGACTTTACGTTGCTGTCTATTTAACTCAGTGAGATTTGCTTACAAACCAAACCTCAAGTGTTTGACCTCATGTGTTGGGGAGCTTTTCGTTTTAAAAACACTACTGTTGGGCTACCCAAAAGAATTCCTTATCTTTGTCATAACTAGTGCTAAGCACACTCAGTCTTATGGAAAAGTGGTAGTGTAGCTTATAAAATGGAGTGCTTTATATGCAATGAAAATAAGTAGCGACAATACGCAATGCCAACATCAGATGCCCCATAGGGGCTTTTAAAAAGTAATACTTAAATGAGATTCAAACCTTGCTCTGTTTTTTCCATGCATGTCCTCAGGCTGTGTTCAGGTTAACTCCCCAGTATCGACACACACGTGTGTGCAGTGAGAAAAAGCAAGGCTTTGAAGTGGATTGCAAACCAAATAAGTAATTGGAGTCATCTTCTGAACCAGTGGAGGTGGCCTGGAGAAGGGGGAGGTGAGCGTGTGTCCTCTTGGCTCTGCCACTGGGGAACCCCAGGTGTGGGTGACAGACCTGTCTGCTAGAGCTCCCAAGGGAATTTTGTTATGGCCAGGTTAAACCAGTGGCTCTCGGTAAACTTTGTGATGGATTCAATGTTGTCAGCAGTCAGTGTGGCTGGTGTGGGTGCAGCCTGCAAAGCAATCTCGTCCTTTCTCAGCGCTATTTAAGCAGGAACTTCAGTAGCAAACTGAAGCAGACTCAGTACTTGGTAATGCAGGACCTTCACCTAATTTACTCCTTTTTTATTAGTACCTTTTAAATACGACTTATTTAAGGAAGCCCGTAAACCTTAAACTCATAAAGAAAGCGAAGGAATGGAGTCAACACCTGAAAACTAATGCGTACTGGGGCCAGACATAACCAAGTTGGGAGAAAGAACAAGACCCTTGGTTATGGCATTCCTTTGGCATTACGGGAAAATGGGCCTAGTCTGTTAGTGTACAGTTAATTCTTAATTGATTTCTCAAGAGACCAGGCTCATAGGCTTATCTTGCCATAACTTGGATCATAAGATTTCTTTACTCAGTTCTGGTTTAAAAAATAAAAATGTGCCAAAGTTTTGGTTTGTTTTTTTTTTTAAAGGAGTGTAAGCCAAATGGTGCCAAAAGGTAATAGGGTATTTAAAAGTAGAGATATTTAGACAAACAGTTTGGAGCTGTATAAAAAATGAACACTGGTACTTGCGTTAGACAAATATTGTACCTTTGGTCTTTGAGTCCTTGGGAGTTTGAAACCCAGTTTGCTGTGGTACAAAATGCACAACTAGAGATGCCACTATCCTTAAGTTCTACCTCATTTTTCAGAAGTAAATCGTCTACCTCAATTTTGCATCAGACAGGTTTGAGAAATAGTTGAGAATCTGCCTGGGGAAGGGATTCGTCCTGCCTGTTGGACAAGCATTTGAATTGAAACAGAGATACTAAGGGTGTACAGTGTGGTGACTGCTTGCTTTTGTTTGCTTTTGGTTTTGCTGCCTGCCCATGGAAATTTTAAGCTGCCCTTGCTAGAGAATCTGTAAATAAACCCAAATGTTTGGGCAAATTGTACTGAGATACCTGAAACACATTTGAGTTTGTTCTGGTCTCACTATGAAGTATGGAAATGTGAACTTTTTTCAGTATTATGACACTACTCGCTGATGTGACATTCTTCATCCTCATTTGCAGTGTTCTTCTGTCCATAAGACCTTTAGGTCTTCTCTCTACAAGAGAAAAACATTTATGCATGCTACAAACACATCCTGTATGGAAAGACTAATGTTATGATTGCTGTGAACACAATGCGATACCAAATGCTTGAAGGGAATAAGATCCTGATATTTTTTGACTTGGTGATTGTATTAGTAGCTTTCTTGACTCAATGGGATTTTTTCCACCATGACAAAGCAACCAAGTTCCTATTCCTGGAGGGCAGTTTAGGTTCAGACATTCTCAGGAGAGGCAGTTTAAAACCAGTTTGGGGTTTTATGCAACTTTAATAGTGACATGCAACGTGTGCCCCTTGTTTTACCTGTGGAGTAAAGTTGCAGAAGCACATTTTCAGAATACTATATTGAAAAAAGAAATTGGTTTTTCCTCCCCTGCTTATGTTAGGGGTCGACAGAAGTGGGTACAGGAGACCCCTAATAACGATAGGCTGTGTTGGGTTTGGTAAATGTTATGGTGGAAAATGTACATTGATGTCTCTAAGTGATCTTACGGGTTAACAAGCCA